TATATAACTGGTAGAGTTGGTTCATGACATTTTATTGTGATCTCTAAGTCCTTTTAACAACCAACAGGAAGTTCCAATAATGCTTTCCCACTGATCTTTAAGTCCCTGAACGTTTAGATCTGAAGAGCCTGTACTTGAGCTCCGACACCATGCTCCATAAGGTCTGGCAGGGGAAAAAAATGACCATAACAACACTACAATAACATCATTACTACAAAATAACTACAAAATACTTGAGGCACTTGGTCAGTTGACCAATGGCCATGACTCGCTGTCACTTGACCAATGGCCGTGACTTGTCCTCATCACCGCAGACATGGGCTTTGTACTTCTGCACCTCGGCCATGTACTTGGACCACGAGTCTTGTTCTTTGTTTTCCTGCATTTGAAATCATGCACACAAAACACAGAACAGTCAGCATCATCCTTTGGAAGGGTTAGTAAAACAGTCAATGAATTCAGCTCCGGTTCTTGCATTCAGATCAAATTTGTACGGCCGTACAGCCTCGCACCTTACAATGGCTAAGATGTCCCTGTGTGACTGATTACAAAGTAATACCTTGGACTCTGTAGTAAACATGGAGTAACTGCTGGCCACTGGCCTGAGCATTACCTGAGGTTCAGTTTTTCTTTGCTTCTTGACAGCTCCTGTCTTGAGTGCCACTTTTCCGTCTCTCCGTTTGCCAACCTGACAACACAGGCAAATAGTTTCTGTATTTATAGCATGTATTCATGTTTACAGATCCTTTTCAAGCTTGGAAAATTAAGCTCTATGGACCATGGCATCAGTTAGCGGGGCGCCAACCAACTCGCACATTTGCCAACTCAACATAGGTTACTCAACTGTTGAGACAACTTGGCCAGCATTCATGACCAGTGGGACAACACAACCATTTGTGCATGAAAATGGAAAGACAAGTCATCCGTCGAGACAAGTTGCCCATTGAGACATGGATCCACAGTCGAGTTGTCCTGAGATTGAGTTGGTAAACGGGTGAGCTGCGTGACATTCAGTTAGTCATAACATTACTCATTAGACTTGATACATGTACTGTGATAGTGATAGTCTGCTGGGCTCTCCAAGCCAAATATAAATTCATAAATACATGTACCTGAGTCTCCCTATTCAACCATGTGCCATTTGACTGTGTGTTAACAAGTGATAATGCCCACTGTGCAAACTATGTGCTGGCACCTGGATACAAGACAATTTGATCGATTCTGATTGGTCAAGGATCTGTATGCAAGCAGCTCGCCATGCACGTGCCAAGTCCATATAAGCCTAAGATTCTTTTGGACAACTTGCACAAGGAACATACCAAGAACAAAATCATTGGAAATCCATCATAATATATTGACTCCTTTTGTCTCCTTGACTGAAAAAGGTAGGCCTACATGCCTTTTCAGCTTTATGAATGGGAATGCCAGTCGGGCATAAGTTGCATCCATTCTCCTGAGGTGGTTTTAAAAACCACATTTAAGAGCGGCCAAGCACAAATTTAGGCCTATTCCCTTAATAAAACCTGCTGGGTCATGTTGGCCTACAATCAGGACAATAACCAGAAAGTCTTACATGTGACAAGAGGCTGTATTTTTTCTGAGCTGGGGTAGAAGAAGCAATAGATTTGCTGCCCTCTGACTTTGTCGAGTGTTCATCTCGAAGAGATAATGCCTGCTCTTCATGACAGTCTTTTATATCTTTAGTCATGTTGGTGCACGTGAGCATGGCGAGTTCCACGCCTTCTATTTGCGCAGACATGGCAGAGTGTCTATGTAAATGAACGTCTTTAACATTGGCATGTTCTGTGCAGTCGGTGACACGTCCAGCCGGATCCTCCGTACCGGAAGATCTGGCCAATTCGTCACTGGACTTCAGTGTCTCTCCCGGATCCTTGTCGTCGGTCGCCGACATCGACAGTTGTTGACATGACTGACTCCCCACTCCAGCACGTCCAGATCCAGCCGAACCACAACGGAGCTTCTCTTCTTCCATTCTCTTCTTGAACATCTCCATGAAGCTCCCATCATTCGCAAAGGCATTGACACTCTGTTTTTCCTCCATTTCGAGAACAACGAATGAAAGAACTACCGTTTAAAATTATTTGTTTTTTACTTCGATTCATCCATTTCCAAACATTTCCATCATTCACATTACGTCATGACAATTCGATTCCCCGTAACATTCTTGTAGATTTCCATTTAACAACGCACGGGCACCCGACTGTTTGTTGAAGCGCCACCAAGTGTGCTATGTTTTCTTAAAATTCTGGAGGGCGCAATTGGTCGGCCGAAACGAGCCCATCATGAGCTTAACACTGCTATGATCAGTTGGAACTTGGAAGACAAGTCAAGAAATGACAAACAAAGGAAAGAACTACCTAACTGGAGATGGTGCTTCTCATTGAAAGAGACAGGGAGCCAAAAATAAACAAAACCTTTAAAAAAATCAACTTGAAATGAAGTTTTTTTGCACCATTCCTTGGGTTTTCCTTTTCTCCTTTCCCTTTGTTTTAATGCCTTCTTTCTGGATAGGGGGTGTGGGTAAACGAAAGAAAATATTGGGGAGAGACAATCTTCATCAAGAAGAGGATGCCAATTTTGGTCCCATCTCTCATCTCCTCCTAGGGTCTTTGCCCATTTTTATAAAAAAGTAACTATGCAACAATGGTGTATTGGCGTTGGACCACAAACACACTTTATCAATACTATTCACACTAGTAATTATAGATACAAGGGTTGTCACCTAACAGGAGGGTTATTTTGCCAAGGTTCAATAGACTTTACCGCCTATCAAGTCGTAGTCTTGATTCAGTGCCTTTGGACTATAGACTTCCTGGGCATTTTTTTTTTAATCGGTATGGGCCCCGAGCGGGGCCAAGAAAGGGTCCGATTTCCTAGCAATGGAGTCTCTTTCAGAAAGAACTCCACTTCACAGGTTCACAAACTACATACGTTGCCTATGCGTCTCTACCACAATGAACACTCTCCGCCACCAGAATGGCTCTTTTCAATCGATGAGGGGGTGCTTCTTCCCAAGGTGGACACCACCAAACGATATTTTCGCATTTTCGATAAAAGGAGCACCCTGTTATATCACATTATAGTCCAAATACAGGTTCAGCGTCAACGTTCTGAGACAAGTCTAACACCAGCTTGATAAAGCTGCCATTTCGTAATCTTCAAGTTCACAAACATGGCCACTTTGGCAAGTGGTCCTTCTTGTTTTCCTCTAGTCACACATTTTTTTTTCTGAACCGGTGCGAGGTAAAGAACCGAGCGATTAAACGAGGCTGTTTTATCTGCCTTGTGATAACCTTTACAGTATTAGGTTACACGAAGTTGGCTTCAAGCCGGAGAAGAAAACAAAACTTATCAACCGACTTGAGCATCGATATTGTGGATGAGCAGGCATTGCACTCTGGAACCTAAATTTGCCCGTTACGATAATCAGCGGTTCTTTGGGTCTATCATTGATGACATGTTTAAAGCAAGCGTTATCGCATTGTATCACGACCCACGAATGTTTTCATCACGTCTCGGCCCGGACTCTGCCCGGTCCTTAACCGTTGGAGGGGGTCTAGAAACTACCAGAGACGTGCCTCTTATCTGTTCAAAACCAAGATTGCTGACATCCCGGGTGATGAACCTTCAAGACGTACACGAATAATAATAATTATTATTATTTTTGTCGATGAATAGCACTGAAAGCATTTAGGTCCGTTCCTTTCTTGGGTACTTACTATTTTTGTCAGCATCGGAGAAAATCAGAGAGAATCAAGGTCTAACAAACAACCCTACTCAGATATCATATGCGCACAGAATTCAATGTGCTCCAATAGGCCTACATGTATATGTACATGTTTTTGCGACGTCAGTAAATACGGGCGTTTCACAATAGTGCGCCTCCAAGAGTTTGCAACGCGTTGGCCAATCACAATGCACGAAACCTGACGACCCAAAGCGCATTTGGAAAGGGTCAGTAGATTTCGCGCGTTGCGATCGGCCGATGCGTTGCAAACTCTTAGAGGCGCACTTTTGTGCATCAACAATATTTGAGAGTGTCATCGACTTGTCTTTCATTTCCGTAGTCTCTATGCCTTTCCATTTGCAGTTTTTCCTTCAAAAAGAAATTATTTTTCTGTTGCTCAATCGCAAATCCATTAGGACATAATACCCTTCATGTTCACATGACTATAAACGGGGTTGAATTCTACAAGTTCGGGATCGTGAATGATTAACTTCTTGCCTGGCAAATTAGGTAAAATGACACCAGATCCACCAGTGTACGACTCATAACGTGGCATGCTTACGACCTACATGTACATAACTCTATCATCTATATTGTGCTTGCCTAAGTGTATGAACTTTCCTGGAGAACGTTGACCACAATCTCTTGGAAACCGGGTCATAGAGGTCAAAATGGCGTTAGACAATTGTTTGTTCTCTGATCTGATCAGTACAAAAACCGGCATTGTCTCTGTAATGCATGTGTACAGTGTTCTGACCACCGATGTGTTTCTCTCTACAGCAGCTGTAGTCGAAAGTCCGTTCTGAAAATCCATTTATTTTATGTTGACACACGTCACTCGCAGGGAATTCCCAAAATCTTCAATTTACTCCTGGGAAAAGACAACTGGATACAAGTAAGGCGAATCAGAAACAGTCCAATTCCACTTAGTTTGAAATGTTAATTTGGAAAACAACCATTATATACTTTCAGTTTTAATAAACAAAGTGAAAGTGTAGGCAAAATTCATCAAAACTCGTACACAGTGTATTAAACAAATTATTAAACTGCTGTTGATAATGATTCACTCATACATTTTTGTAGATGGAGTATTAAAATTGACTTGTAAATTGTTTTACAAACAGCCACCAGTAACAAAGTCAAAGCAGATGTCTCGATCGATCAACCATACACAAATCGAAGCTTGCAAGTGGGGAAATAGAGACAAATTGCGCAATCTCTTTTTAATATCCCCATTCAGTTCTGGAGCAATCTTGGGCCACAGCGAAGTATTTTGGCTGTTTGCCAATAGGATGTTATTTTGTTGAATGCTGCCAATGCTATTCGCATATTTGCACAGTGCACTTCTTGTTCGCGTGAACCGCTGGCCCCATTCCAACCATAGATAGAGTTGCCAACGTTCAAGATCTTCTTACACGTAAAGACAAATATTTGGGAATAGTTAAGGCTGGCAACCTTTCCGTAGGCAGCAGCGTAAATCGGTGTTTGAAATGGGGGGGGGGGAGGTGGGGGTCACTTGCCTGGTCATGGACATTTGAAAAGCGGGGGGGGGAGGCAACACCCATAATTATAGGGCCTACACAATAGAAGGTTCGATGTTCAGGATAAAGATGGACATCTGTAATGTGTATCAAATTCATGCAGTCTTACATCAGAATGGCATATTGGGGCTTTTTCAATTGCTTTCCTTTTTTAGTGATATTGCAAACATTTTAATTGTTGGAAAGTCTAGAAAATTCTTCAAAATCCACTTTAATATTTTTGCTCATCACAAAAAGTGGGGGAATGATTCAGTAGCCCATCCTCCTCTCAAAAAGTGTGTGGGGGGATTTTTGTTTACCTACGTATGCGCACGGGTGTAAATCCAGGGGTGGGGTGGGGGTATCCCCACCCCACCCCTGGATTTACACCCGTGCGCATACGTAGGTAAACAAAAATCTCCATTCAAAACTTCAACTTGACTGGATTCAATATTATTCCGTTCGTTTTCTGTAGCACATTGACTACTTGTAGTGCTTATCCATTGGAACGAGGAAAGAAATTTATCGCTTTGGTACTATAGAATCTGTATTGTTTAACAAGAACAATGCTATTCGATGGACACTGATTTTTGTCAACAGTTGATTTTCATCAACAATTTGTATATTTTCATTTCATGCCCCTTAAGTTAATTTTTTGTTCGAGCGAGAAGGGTTACCGTAATTTTTTTACCGTCTTTCAGAAAACGGCACCCACTGTAATATTTCCTATCGTCAGACACCCTTCATTTTTAAGTCCTTACTCCCCAATGCCCTGAATCACAATGAAAACAAATTTTTGGGGTAACATGATCAGGAACTTTTAGAGCTCCCAAAAATCAGCGTCAGGACCCAATGCACACAATGTTTTGCTTTTTATGTAAAATGGCTTGCCGTCAGGTTAAGTATACAAGACTGGTAGCCATCCATCAGCAAATGCAATTTCTGTTTTTGGTTTTTGTTTTGTTTTGCTTTGTTTTGTTTTTTTTGGAAATTGTCTTGTGAAATGTTGAAGATCCAGCTGTGCACAGAATTAAGTTCAATAACGTTCGTATAAAGTGCAGCACAACATAGTGTTATAAAAACACATTTATCAAAGTGTGAGCTCATTCGATAGTCATTTCACTGAAATCTTTTCGGTTGTAGGACCTCCTGCCCTCTTCCTGACAAGCTCCTTCAGTTGAGCCACTTCCCGTTGCAGCACCGACGTCTCACGGCGGAGTTGGTCGTTCTCTAGCTCCAGGTAGGCTGAGCGAGCGGCTCGGTACTCGATCAGAAGGCGCTTGGCGTCTCGGCACTTCTTGGCAGCCTGGTTGTTGCGTCTCCGCTTGTCCCAGTACTTCTCCTTCTCTCCCATGAACGACTGGTGGGGGTGTCGCCCGCTGGCTGCCGAGGCACCGTAGGTTGATCCCTCGGCGGCGCCTTTGTTCAGGGCGGCGAGGGCGTGAGCCGCCTGCACCATCCGCTCGTGGGCGTCACTCAGGGTGAGATCGTCCGAGACTTTGGGCAGGCAGTCACTCTTCGCCGAGAAGTCGAATAGGCAGTTTGCGTTGAAAGGGGAGGTGTTGCCCTCGCAGGAAGACCCACTGGATGGGGGTGGGGTGTAGCTGTCGAGTGCAAGACGGGTTGCGCGGATTTCATCCCCGGTAGTCTTGGCAACAGACGCCGACGGGTCAGCTTCGGGACTGGTAGAGCGCCTAGCTATCTTATGACTCGTCAGGCATTCGGAATCAGCATCTGGACCCTGGGCAGCCTCGTCACTCTGCGGGAGAGGTCGCTTCATCTTCCCCCGGAGTTTGTGAGGCAGCTTGGAGAGTTCCACCCCTGGGACGAAAGCACTGTGCGGGGATGGAGGAGACAACGGTTTCTCTTTGGTCTTGGATGGATCACCCCTGTTCGGTGGAGATGCTGGAGTATGACTGTCGGTCGCAGTGGCTGACAACTTGCTGGTGGATTCCTCTCTCCTCGGCTCACAGCTCAGGCTGCTTTCTGTTGGCAGCTGCGCCTTTACCTTCTCTTGAAAGAGGACAGGATTTGCTTGTTTCAGTTCATCTTTCTTTGCAGTCAACACCTGCAGTGTTCTCTGGAGGTGGTCGTGAATTTTGTCCAGGTGCCATGGCTCTCCATTGGAAGACGGCGGCTGCAAGGGAGACCAGGAACTTTGGGCAAACGGAGGAATTACAGGCGCGTACGAAACAGGTGGCGGGACACCCACAGATGATAGTGAGGCTGCTGGAAGGGAGGCCACTATCGAGGTCATGGGGTATGGTCTAAATTGGGAAGTCTGAGTTTCGAAGGCTGATGGCTTCAGGTAATAGGGATCCATTCGGTTGTCCAGCGCCATCTTGACCTCTTCATTCTTTGGGATGAAATCAGTTGGTTGCTGTGTAACGCCTACGGCACCCTTGATCGCAGACTTTGCTGAGTCTATCTGACAAATTTGCTCCTTCATGGCCTGGAGCTCAGCCTTGAGGTTGTCGTTCTCTTCGGCCAGCTTCAGCACCTGCGCCTCCAATACCACGTCGGTCAGGCGGCGCTTCTGCCGCGACCGCCGGGCTGCGTCGTTGTTCTTCCGCCGGCGGTCCCAGTACCGCATGTCTTTCAACTCCTCCGGGGTGAATTCGCGCTGCTTGCGGGGGACGATCAGCTCCGGCATGTGGAGCCCAGTCAGGTCCAGGGACTGCCCCGCGGCGCCGGCGGAGACCGTCTGGGTGCCCAGGTAGTGGTCGCTCGGATGGACGCGCTGGACGGGCTTGCCCCGGTGACGCTGGACGAAAGCTAGGTTGCTCTGTTGGTCACACGTCTTTGTGGATAGATCCAAGGCGGTAATCTGAGGTAGAGGAGACACCGCTGCCATACTGGCTACTTCGATTTCGGTTCTGCAAAATAACAAAAGACATAAGAACTAAGATGTAAGTTCTACATTCACGTCTTCAGCGCGCCTTGTGCCTGTTCGCCTAAGTTGCAGAGAGTGTTGCATAAATGAGGCACTTTCTCCAGTTCAATGCAAACGGCGTCATCGTAAGGGTTGGTCAAAAGTTGATATGACTGCGCAAAACTAAAATTGGCGTTGAACGATCCAAGCATCCTTTTTTAACTTCTCTGCTCCTTTTTTTAAGTGTTCGTGGTGGTGTTTCATAGACATTTTCATTTTCTTATGCATTGTCATTATCATGAGTGACGACTTGAAGCGAGCACAGCCAGGAGGAACCATTCAGTGGCATGAACTGCATGATGAAATCCATGATGTATAGCCTCGTGCACGAAAACAAATCCAATTGTCCCTTTAAAAAATCAATACCAATCAAGTCCTCACTGAATCGTACAACAAAGATTTTTCGGCTTGTATTCCGTCTTTCCTAACTACAAAACAGACGACCACACCCAATTTCAATACGGGCGAGTCACAAAAGTGTGCCTCCAAGAGGTTGCAACGCGTTGGCCAATCGCAGTGCTCGAAATCTGTCGAACCTTTCCAAACGCGTATTGGGTCGACAGATTTCGCACATTATCCTTACCAGTGCGTTGCAAACTCTTGGAGGCGCACTACTATGAAACGCCCGTATTGATAAAGCATCACAATACAATGTTTCCTTAAGTTCCTTGTTACGTATCCTCCAATTACGAAAAGAGAGTTTCTGGGGTGACACTGCGGTAAATATATCATTCATATATGTACAGTACATAATTATGAGACACGAAGTCATTACGAAACAGCGACCAGGTGTTCCTGAAGGACCTGCACGCAGGCAGGACAGAGTGTTTCACGGCCCTTTTAGAGATTAAATAACAATTACATGCATAACAATTGCAAACGACTAGGTCTCAGTCAACAAACTGACTTTCTGAACGCAATTTAGGCTTAATTTCTAAAAGGAGAGTCCCGAACGACGGACGACAGAGTATTTTTTTTGTGCTCTATGTTCCAACCAAATCATGAATCAGGAAAAAAAGCCAATGACATGGGGCTCGGCCTGCAGATTAAAAAAAAATTAAAACTACAGAGGAATCTCTCCAAGGTAGGATTTGTAGGGGTAAATCTACTCATGCTGGCACACCGCAAAGGGATAAAAAATATCTCAGCCTTAGGAAAACCAAAGAGCTACAAACACCGACAGACGACGGCCTAGTACAAATACGAGCCCCTTGTTTGCATATCGAGTCATGACATAATCAATCTACCATTACATCACAGAGAAGATGTGGTGGCGATTTCTTTTTTACACGCGCGGATTGATTAGGTCGAACAGCGCTGGTTGCCGTGATGTAATGATATTGTTTTTGGCCTAGAGGGCCCCTTCTGTTGTGTTTATAAGCGTGAAAGAACAGGGTGGTGCAAAACTGTCCAATAAAGTCAGCGTTTGTAACTTGGAGTATTGATTTGTTATGAGGCTGCAAACTGAATCGCGATGTGACGATAAGCTGCCTGACATTCGTCGGGTCGTTGTTTTGACAAATAATTACGACAAGCAGCATTGTGTTAATATTTCTAACCTTGCAGACCCTCACAGCTGTAAACGATGATCCTAGAAATGAGGCATCCAGCTCGAACGTTTTCAATCAATGCCAAAATGTTTACCTTCTCACAACAGACATGGATTTGTTTTCCAATAATTTAAAGATGAGCTACGTATGTGTCGTGCCTATTTTTTTGTAAATTAATCAATATCTTACTCGAGCTGTGTTGAACTTGGACTGTTCTCACTTGTTCGAACTGAATGTTTCGATAGAATTTCGCGGAGTGAAATTGAAGGAATAGCAGAATTTCAGTGAAACGCCCACTGAAAATAACCAATGAATGCTTTCAGGAAATGGAGCGTTACTTTTTTTTGTTCATTTTTCCCACTTTCTTTCTCTCCTTAAATTACAATTTCCTGGAGTCTAGTGGAGGGTAAGACATGTTCTTACATTGGTATGATCGTTACCTAACATATCATACAACCCGAAGGCTGATAACAATGCATGTTTAAAACCCAAAGGCTGATAACAATGCATGTTGCATCAACTGCGACATCATCAGTGTGATGTGGTCTTCGTCACGGGCGTCGCTAGACCATTTTGAAAGGGGGGAGGTGCCCCATGAAATTCACCGAGGGACCGTCACAGAAAATGAGTGTACTGTATCCCCCTTCCTTTCATCTTCATTTTCCATTCTTCAATTTTTTTAATGTCTTTTTATTTTGCCGACAGACCATGATTTTGCCGACAAAACCAACCAATGGAGGGGGTTGACCCCCCCAGCGACGCCCGTGGTCTATGCCACTGTCTTGTGAACGAAATCCATTTTGTGTTGTAACGTAGCTATCACCGTAACACTGACTGGCATGTGGCTGGCTGGAATCGATGATTCCACTTTATACAAATAAACGCTGTTTTACTGTACAGTGGCGGTTTGTAGCTTCTTGGTATACAAACGACTGCACTATTTTGGACTTACGTAACGACAAAATCCCTTGGCGTACCATCCGCGCAACTAATGGAGCGGTGGAAACAATAACGTGACGTCACAAGTAAAGTGGAGGTTTAGTATAGTAAGCCGCATATAAATACCCTCGGTGTGCGCCATTCGTAGCCATTAAGGATCCTCGAACTCAGTCTTTTCCACAACTGACGCGTACCGTGGACATTTTCCCTTAAATTATAACGCACCACGTTTTGACTTTCTACGGAAGTGTTCACGGGCATAACTTTTGCCGGCTTAAAACTTGCACTCACAGCATAAAGAAATTCCTTCACCCTCACAGCACTCAGCAGTACGTTTCTGGTTATAATATAAGGTGAGACAACCCTCCAGTCAAGAGAATAATACAGAGGTAAAATACAGTAAACACCAATACTGCACTTTCAAATGGGCTTTTCTCATCCGGCCAATACAGTCCAACAGTAAACAGCGACACAACAGTGTCCTACTTTCACGAGATACAGCTAACACTTGGTCATGTTCATTTATACCGAGATTAGAAGAGGTTTCACAACATGTAAGAAAGCAGCTATCCCGCGAATAAAAACAACTCTTCTTTCCTTACGAAGTTACGGGAAGGAGGGAAGGTTGGCAGAAATATTAGCTTGACATTACTTTCGCAAAGGCCGACTCTATTACAGTGCCGACAAGAGTCGACCACATAGGCAAATTCAACTCAATCGGCAATCGATGGCAAAAATAAAACTGCAAATTTATAAAGGCTAAAATGATAATTTATTATAGTCACAGTCTTGTTCTACCATCCACGGTACCACACACACTGTACAGCCTACAGGAAAATCTGTAAACTAGAATGTGACGAGTGCATTGCTCAAGGGACGGAATGAATGCATAACACAAGAACCTCCATATCGTGAGTCAGGAATCACCACAAATGAATGAAAATGAAAAAGTTACCTGATGACCATATAGCGATGAGGCGCTGGCGCCAAGAAGAAGAAGAAGAGAAAGAAAAAAAAACAAGTTCACTTTCGGTAACTGGAGGAAACAGTCGACGATTATACTACAGCGAATGAAACGTTGACAGTGATTGCATACAACAACTTGTTCCGCTGAGACCAACCCCCAAACTGAATCCTTCACTAGTCTAAGCTTAATCCGTCCGCTCCTAAAGCGTTCGGTAACCGGAGCAATCAAACTCCAGCCACATCAGTCCTCCCCGCTCTTTACCCAAGAGCTGTCTTACGTAATGGCCTACGCGCAGGCGCAGACCCCACCTTTCCGTCACATACTTCGGCGGCCGCTCTTACGCAACGGTCTAGTTACATCACGGGCTTGACAAGCCGTGGTCGGCCTTGCCCTCGAGTCTAAACACTCGTCTCGGTTACGTGAACTGCCAGGCGGGGTCATAGAACTCCATTACAACGGCATTCTTAAGAATTACAAACACAATCGACAAATGGAAGAACCAACATTTTTCGTACCAACGTCAATTTGTTTAAATGGAAGATGCCATTTGACATCTGAGCACGTCACCTACTTCTCGAAGAAAATATTTTCTGACATTTATGAAGTAAGCACAGATCAGCTAAATTTTTAGCTGATCCGTGCATTACCATGGTTTTGGCTCAGTAACTTGCCAGTGGGGAAATAAACATGTACACGCGCTGAGATCAAATTCGACACTACTAGCGTGATTCAGTGCCTCCTTCCTTCCCACAAGCGAAAAATCGTGTAAGTGATTTTATCGTCAAAACTCTTCCAAAATGATTACCCCACCTGGGATATTTCAATGCCGCTCTGGGACACGTTCTACATTTAGATGTGAGGAAATGAAGAAGGCTTTTTCACTTAAATCTAATCGTATTACACCCCTCCGTTGTACGTTCTGAACTCCAGCTTATGCAGACTGCAGCCAGAGTGTGGCCAAACCTTCAGCGATATGATGACCCAATATGTGAAATCAAATAATTTGGGTGACCCAGCCTCCAATTTAAGAAATGTTCAACAGTTGCCATCAAATTCATCAACGGACACTACTGCGCGACTCGGGCTAGCCGATGAAGGAAAATTGTTTTTCTTCTGGTGGGCCTGGGATCTATACCCCGCCCAATGAGTACATAAACGGACGATCTCCACCAGCAGACAATCTCTACGGCCCCCGGAAGGTCACAACAGGGACACTGCTGTCCAGACTCTTGGACGTGCGACCCCCCAGAGCTAAAAGGTCGTAGGGTTCACTCAAAGTTCACGTGGGACGCAGGGTAAAACCTGGCCTTGCGTGAGTTTGTATCAAACGAAAATCGATGCGGCCTTGGTGGGGACAAAGCTGGGGACTGCCAGGGTGGATTCTGCATGGCATTTGGCAACATACAGAGCTATGCTCTTTCAAAACCATCTGATTCAATTCCCCGGAGTCGATCCAAAGCCGTTAGCGTCAGCGCGCAAACGTTACGC